TCAAAATTACATCATCATCCAGCTTATTTGGAAAGAAACCACACATCACTGCAAGTTTTGCTAGCATCCGCATTCTATTTACCATGTACGGTAGCCCACAAATTTTTCTCCCTGGTTGTACGCTAAATTTATTGCTCAACTGCACCATGTTAAGTGTGGGATAGACCTCCCACTAACACATTTCTCCTTGTCAATTTTTGCTTTTAGGCTTTACTGTATGCGTTACACATTTCAGCAGCATGCTACTCATAACACCCCCCCCCCCCCAAGGGGGGAAGTAAACCCAATTCACAGCCACAGACCTAATCGACAACTTCCTTCACCCCATCTTCCCTGTTCTCTCCACACTCTTCCTCCACATAATTGATGCAAACTAGGATACCTTCTCTACATTTTTCAGCTTTAACAATGAAAAAAGCGCAGGCAGATCACCTTATTTTCTTATCTAACCCCAGCCTTCTAAAATTTCTTCTATGGTTAAAGAATTTTATTAAGCAGCAAAAGAATCAATTCAATTGCCAAGAATCCAGATCATTGGCATTCCATGGAATTATACAAGAATCCTGGCCTTTTCTGGCAAGGTTCTCATTCCCTATAATCAGAATGATAATAATAATGATTGCATGCCTGTGTGCTCAACTGTCAAAATCTACAATCCAAATATGAATTACCAACAATGAGGCGAAGAAAATCAAGACTGCATTTCACATCCTACTAACTCTGATCTCACCAGTCACCAGATTAAGCTGTTAAATAAATTAATGCGTCACATGTTACTGAACTCTCTAAATCTTAAAAAGGTTCCAGAGAAACCTCTTTCCTAGTTCATAAGAACCTTGTAAAACCACTTTGCTGCATCTTGGAAAACATTTTTTCATTTTGTAATATGTGAATCCACAAATTGGCAGAATTTTGGTTTACTTTTGCTATTTTCCAAAATCAGAACAAGACCTTGCTACAAAATATATGGGTTTAGAAAACAACAGGACCATCAAATTCCCAGTTTATTCTTGTTTGAATTCTCATGTCCAGATACCTTTTGAAAGTTATTTTAACAAACATCAAAGATGCCATTTCAGAGGAAATCTCTCCATATTTTGTCTGAAAAGGGCCACCAGATTTGACTAAAAACAGAATTTGGTTTGTTTTGTCACGACAGAAACTGGAAGACAAGCATATCCAAAAAAGCTCTCCCCCGAACCTTCCAAAATAAAGAAACAAAAAAGCAAGCTTCTATCCATGTTTTCAGCTAGTGGCATGAAGGACTAAATTCATTGTGCTCAACTTTGATACAGGATGTTGCAGGAAGCAGATTGGAGGGATCAGCAGATCAACCAAAGCATATTCCAATCAAATAAGAATCAGATTGCCTATCCAGGAATTGGTAAATCCTTAACATTTTTAACACTGTACCAAAAGTGTAACGGAATAACTCTTTGTTTTCCATGCAATGCTGGTCTAATTCAGCAATTACATACCATAAGGCAAATTTATGCTCTACGGACATTAGAAAGAGTGGTAGTGCAAAAAAAAAAAAGTGCCATAGTTTAGACAAGATAAAAATAATCCAGAGGAAATATAAAGAGATGAGATGAAACTTAGAAACTCTATGATCCTTTTCAGCAATAATTTGACCAATGTTGTTATGCATCAACTAGTTTCCACTATCTGGTAAAGCAGCTACATTTGAACTCATTGAAAGAAAAAGGGAGATGTTAAGCGGGCAGCATCCCCTAATACACTTATATCCTCACGAAAACTAGAAACTACAACAACCCCACCCCCGCCATCTCCCCTGTAACTCCTAAAAAATGGTTCCACCAGTATTTTCGTAGAATAATTAAATCAAAATTACAAGAAGAATAACAAAAGAAAGTGCATTTGCCAGCAAGGCTGTAAAGGCGATTGGGATTAAAATTGAAGCAAATGGCCAAGCTATGGTGAAAATCGAAGTCTTGGTTACTCATCAAAACATTTTCCAAGGTTATAGCACCAAATTTTCTGGGCAGAAAAAACTCAGAATTTCCAAAATAACTCATATTCTTACCGAAAATATAAAAATCCACAATTTGCTTGTCTCTGTTTCACAGAAAACATATAGAATTAAGCAACATACAGCTCAATAGAAAGATGATAACTTGGTAGAAAACTATAAACAATCCAAACAAATTAAAAAGAAAAAAAAGAAGAAGAAACGAAAAGAGCATATATACTATCAAAGCAGATGCCCTACCCGTACATCTAAGAATCTAAATCAGTAGACAAATTGACGATAAACATGCATGCATGTGCTATTTAACTAAAAGTAACAATAGTGAGAGGGGAGTCTACCGCAGATCTTGATTGGTGCTTCAAGCTCCAAGAGATTAGGCTGTTGAAGGAAGATTTCCCGGGCAGCGTTGCAGAGCGACCGGATCTCCGCCTCGGAGAGCTGGACTTGGCGCAACGTCCGCGCGTGCCGGAACTCCAACAACCGGTTGATTATGTCATCAAGTACCGCAGGCTCAATTCCCTGCCCATTCGCGGCGGCCATCCCTACAAATATCGGTTCTCTAACTACTCCTCTGTCTCCAATTTACAGCCAACCTAACCAAACTTAGGGTTTCCAACAAACCGTCCCTACAGAAAAGAAGATATGGAATAAAATAAAAATAAAAACATCAAAAGATTTAGTCAAATTTTCTGTTTCTCTTAAGCTCTCTCTCTCTCTACCAATGACGAAAACGAGAGAGATAGATAAAGATTAAAAAGATTATAATTGGTGGAATTTAGGGTAGAGGAAAGGGAAGGGACTAGAGGGCGCGTGAGGTTCGGTTGGGGGGGATGGGGGCTGCAACTCCGATGCGGCGGAGAGGACTTTTCTTTTTCTTTTTTTTTGAAAGATAGGATAGTGCTTAAATTAATAGGGAAAAGAAAATGCGTAATAAGAAGAGGTTGTGGTCGGAGTCGATAATTCCGCTGCCCTCGTGTGGTTGTATCCTCCGATGAATAATCACACACTTACGTGGCGTTGCCAGTTGGGGAATGCGCATCAGTGATTTCATTTGTGCGCACACATACGTGATATACCCCGCTCCCCCCTTTCCAAAAAAAAAAAAACCACGACCCACATACTCTATCTTTTTTTTTTTTTTTTTTTTTAAACAACTTGCAATGAAAATAAAAGGCCCTTTTGATTTCTGGCTCTGGTGCTCCCTGGTTTTTGATTTAAAGGGCGTAAAGCCAAAGCCTAAAGGCTAAAGGGTGTGGGGTTGAGATTCATGGTCTAGATATCGTTCTCGGACTAAATCAATTGTTAAGGACCCAGTTTTTTTTTTTTTAAAAGAGGAAGTTATTGGTAGAGTACAAGGGACAAAGGAAAGGAGTTGATGTTTAATTGCTAGATCACAAACTTTCCTAAATTGTTGATCATGCTTCTCAAATGTAGGGTAATGATTAATGAGCTATTCTTAGCCTTCTTGGGATTATTTTGGTTTAGACTTGACATTGATCGTGATGTGATGGTGAAATATCCATGTTTTTTTTTTTGTCACTTGTCATCATTTACATCTACATCTACTCCTAATCTTAATCTAGCCTATACTAGAGGGTGATCTAACAGGATCACAGGAATCGATGGAAACTAAACCACCATCGAACCATACGGATGCACAGCACCCATATGGATCTTAAGCAAAACCACATCGGACCATGTCGTTTCATTTTGTTATTCTAGGTTTGACTCACCCTTATCCTGTTTTGGATTGTGATTTTCTGTTAAAGAATTTTTACATTTTCTACAAACACATTTTTTAATTATCTTTTTTACCTTATATACATTATAATATATTTTTCTAGAATCATCATCCTTGGATGAAAAATAGAGGAGTCATAGAAATGTGAGCTTGACGTTTGTCTTCCCTCACCACTTCCAAAATCTTCTGATAGAGAAAGCTTCGACAAAACTTCCGTTTAGTGTGATGCAAAGGAAATAGATAAGTTGGGAAAAGAATATCATCATCATGCTTTTGGCTCTCTTCTTCTTTTGCAATTTTATACCAAAGCATTTTGTACCTGTTAGATGTTCGACAAAACATGTAATTCACAAAAGTTTGAAAAAGCAAAGACAACACGGCATGCATTTCTCTAGAGTTGATTTTGTTTATGAAACAGTACCTTTGCATGGTTCCGAAGGGACATTATTATCATCTATATATACTCCACCCAGCCTAAGAAAGACTTACCTTTATTTGGTGATTTATGAGGGCAATCATGAAAAGATTTCAACGTCTGAAAAATAAATGGTGAAGATTTGTTTTGTTTGAGTTATTAGAGTATTTTGGACAAGAATTTCAAAGCTTCCATAAGTTGGTATGTTATTGCAAACCGAACGCAAGGCCGGACATGGACTACCATTTCGGATGGTGAAGCTCGAAATACTTGCAACTTGCACCTTTATATTATATCTATCAAAAGTAACCATTACTTTGAGGTGAAAAGGTGTGGCCTCTGTTGGTTCGACCATCAAATATGGAATTCCTTATAATATCCGAATGTTTTTTTTTTTCGAAATGTTTTTTGGCAGCACGAGAAAATTTTACATACCCGACTCAAGTTCAAGAACATACCCGAGGGGGTCTTAGGCCCTGTTCCGATTGTTAATTTTTGGGGGAAAAATATCAAGAACACATAACAAGAAATGCTGCTATTCTCCTGTACAGGTATATTTTCCTTTATGTCTTGTCTAAAGCAAGTTTATTCTTTTCTATTGTCCCGAATGGAGGTTGATAGATTCTAGTCTACTCCTATTTTTTTTTTTTTTTTGGCCCCCTTCAATTTTAAGGTACAAATGAATATCGAGTTGTGAGTCTTGTGACTGCCTGCTGTTAATGACTGATGGTGGCTCCTCTCGAGTTGTCATAAATCCCATTATAGAAAGTTCAGTCGTACGAGTAAAATGTCAAGGCATTCTTCCCCAAATTTCGCTTATTCTTTCATCTGCAATTCCAAGGTAACCATTTTCTTGCAATCAATTTTAACTTTTATCTGGTGCTTTCATTGCCTTGCAATCCAATTTCTTATCTGATTTCTTTTTCGCTCAACATCACATGCTTTTTTGATATGATACCTGGAATGGGTTTTGGTTTCTCCGTCCTGATGGCTGCCTTCCGTTTTCTGGTTCGTTTACGCTTTCCCATGCATGCACATCAATTTTCATTTAAGGGTTCTTGCTATTGAATTGCAGATATGTGAGTTGACATATGATTTTCGTGATTGTTGCTAAAAACAATTGTACATTGCCGTAGATGTCCCCATGCTTGAGTTCTTGATCCTGAATGACTGAATGGGGTTTGCAGAGGACATAAGCATGAAAGGATTAATTCCCATTTTTTGCCCAATCAATTGAATTAAATGGAAAAATAATTCATTCTTGTTAAAATCAGAAATATCTTGTATTTCCCTTTTGAAGGTCTGGTAGGTGATGGCCATAAAGTGGTATTATCACATTTCAAACCCGACAGATTATGGTTTCTGCATCATAACTTGGGACAGCTTATCCTATTAAGTTGACATCTTTATATAGAAATTTATTCACAACAAATGGAATCAAACGTTTCTATAATTCGTAAAATTGTTAACAAATTCTTGACGATTGACTTTACATATTTGCTCTTCATTATTGATTTGGACCTCTGCTTCGTTACTGGAGCCTTAAGCTGAAATCATTACCTTTGGATGGTCATTTATAGAAGAATGCATTATCGTCTATATCTGCAATTTTTTATGAAAGCGTGGTTCTATCATGCAAGGCTGCAGATAGCAGGATTAGAATACTTGGCTATAGCTTTTTGTGTAGATAGATGTTTAATCACATTAAGTAGGACAGGAAGAAAGCTCATTCTTGCAAACTTTTTCATCTATTGAAATGGTATATTGTCTAGAATTGCGTTTATTGCTGGTAACTGACATCTTATAAGTTGAAAAAGAAAAACAAGATTTTGAATTATGACCCGAGACGTAGAAGTGTAACATGAAAATTCAGAATAAAAGGTGGCATGGAAAATGATGAAATGTTCATTCCAGTTGGAGTAAAAGGGAAATAACTGGTTATGAACATTTTGTATCATCTGATGAATGCTAGATGCTACCATGATAGCAACTCTTCCTTAGTATTGTTGAAGGCCTATATTAGATAGACACCTGGGTTTGCCTGTGTGGTTCTGATCGACTAATTTTGGTCCTGATGCTTTATACTTCACGCCTTTTCGCAGCCCAGCTCCAAAGGAATATTTTCTTGTAGAAAACTGTTCTATGACAACCTCTAGGATATGGAAGCCATCCCAGGAGGAGTACTCCTTGGGCAGGATCTTGAGTCTTGCTGGCTAGAGATCAAGAACAAAAGCCACATCAGCCTCTTGGCCCTCCTGTAGACGATTTCTGGACCTCCTTACCAGAGATATCTCTCTTGTTATCCATCCAAACACCATCCTTGTTATTTTGCATCATTCCTTTTGTGCTTTAAAAGAAATCTGTTATGATTTTCTTCTCTGACGCCATATCTGACCAAATTGCCAATAGCCTGATACCATTCCTTTTCCAGCTCTACATACTACTGTCTTTTCCCTTCACAAGGTACATAAGAATTCTCTTTTGAAACTTACCTTACTATTGATAGTTGCTTTTTGCTCCTTACCGCTTACTCTGTGTTGCTTTTCTTTCTTTCTCTCATATTTCACCTCAATCACGCTTTAGCTCATGCATCCCCTTTCTATAAGTACATAATTAAGACATTAATCTGGTTATTTAAAGAAAAGATATCCATGCAATAGCTATATCGCTTGTACCCTTAAATTGGTTCACTGCTAAGTATGTAGCTTTAAGGTGCATAAGCAAAGCTGTTGTTTTCTGGAGACAAATTAAACTAAGTCCTAAGTTTTCAATATATTTCCATAAACTTAGCATTCCCTCCACTTGAGTAAACCAAAAATATAAATATAAAACTCTGCTTGAATCACTAACATGTATGAAATTGGGTACTGTAGATATTCGTAATCAGTTTCCTGTCTCGTGCAGCAACATATTTCTATGATAATGTAGCTATTTTACTTTAGATACTAACTTTTTTGTGGTGGCAAATGGTAAAAAGTGATGGAGCAAAAGGAGGATTCAGCTTCAAGAGAAAACGAGCAACTTAAAGCACAGATGCCACAAGTCTCAGAAGAACCTGGTTACAACAATAATCAGCTTGAATTTTCTTGCAGTCATATTTGTTCATTCTCAAACCTGGAATACAGCATATTAGACTCTGCAGAACGATCAAAGTCAAGGGTGAAGCTTATAGGGCTCATAATCTTTTACTCAGTAGTCATGGTAGTAGAAATTGTTGGTGGCATGAAAGCCAATAGCCTTGCTGTCCTTACGGATGCAGCTCACATGCTCACTGACATTGCTGGATCTTCCATTTCTCTTTTTGCTGTATGGGTGGCAGGCTGGGCATCAACACCACGGCAGTCATTTGGATTCGGTCGTCTTGAAGTCATGGGAGTCCTCCTATCAGTACAGCTGATATGGCTTATCTGTGGGATTTTGATTTACGAAGCAGTTGACAGAATTCTCCACAAAAATGCTAAGGTGAATGGGAAACTCATGTTTTTGATTGCCTTATTTGGATTCTTGGTGAACTTGCTCATGATTTTCTGGCTTGGTCATGATCACACTCACCATAGTCATTCTCATGAATCTCATGAAACCTGCAACAGTGAAGAGCATGATCATGAAATGGAGGAATTAGACGTCATGGGCGTTGAAGACACCATAGGTCTGGTATCACCTTCCCCACTGAACGTAAAGATTTTAAACATAAACATACAAGGTGCTTACCTGCATGTTATGACTGATATCATCCAGAGTGTCGGGGTAATGATTTCTGGATTGATCGTATGGGTTAAACCAGAGTGGCTGGTGGTTGATCTGCTCTGCACTCTTGTCTTCTCCATTGCTGCACTTGGCACGACTCTGCCCATGCTGAAAAAGGTATTCTGTATATTGATGGAGAGAGCTCCGGATGAGATTGACATTGCACTCCTTGAAAATGGCTTGAAGAGCATAGAGGGACTTCATGATGTTCACGACCTGCATGTTTGGGCGATCACTTCTGGGAAGTTTGTGTTGGCCTGCCACATTGTGATTGGCCCTGGAGTAAGTCAAAATGAAATGCTCAGTAAAGTTGGGGATTACTGTGAGAGAAGTTTCAAAATTCATCACGTTACTATACAAATTGATCGTCAAGTACACTAAATGCAGCATTTCTCGCTTATTCAGTCCTCTCTCCAGTCTCCGTTTGTGACTTTATTTCATATTGAAATACCTCGTCTGAAGAAAATGTCAATACGCAGAAAAACATGCACGACGTTGCAGTCCAGGTGCTAGAGTGCCTATGTTTAGTCCTGAAGTTATCTCCATATGGGTGCTTTAATTAGGTCCATACCCTTATCTTTCTTGAGCGAATGCACAGATGCATAGCATCACTGCAGTTCCATGGCTGCATGAATGCGCATTGAATCACACATACCCCAACGAGTTAACAAGAAGTCCAGTTTCTTCTCCTTTTAGAATCCAACCCAAACAAGAGAAATAAGGACAAAGGAATTCTTTTCTTCCACAAGGCCGTCAAAATCAAGAATAAGATGATCATCAATATTTGCTGTTAAGATCTAGTGGCTTTTTTTTTTTTTGGGTTAATTATACTTTGCCTTCCGAACTTAGCACTCTACCTCTGAAATTTCAAATATATACACTTTACCCTCTTCATTGGCTAGTCAAACATTAATGATGAATTTTTCATCCAAAATTTTGACAAAATAGCAATAATGCCCATATATTATAGTTACTTTTAATTGGAATATGGAATATGTTATTAGAAAAAACATGAACTCACATGATATGACATGAAAAATTAAAAAATAAAAGATGGTATAATACCAAAGAATTGCAAATTTGTATTGTAGAGTAAAAAGAATTTAAAATTTCTAAAACTTCTACACTAATTTTTCATCACTTATCTTTCTTCTTTTAAATTGTAAACGGATTGATTTTGATAATTCTTGTTTACCTTGTAGCTGTCACAAGATTCTCAGGAAGTCAATAAGATGTTATTTGATATTTTTATACCGTAATCATACCTTGGTTTGTATTTTGTTTGAATTTTACATTTTTTCCAAAAAAAAAAACTTGAGATTCTCTAAATAATTTTTTCAATACATTGTTATTTTTTAAAATCACTTTCTTATCTCATATAAAATGTATTAAAAAAGTGCTACACTAAGAAAAAAAATATTATCAAATAATCTTCATTTCAAATACATTAACTAATTTTATTTCATATAAAATAAGTATTGCTATCAACATTGAGATAAATACATTCAATTGTTTAGACTTCTTTTTTTTTGCAGATTATCTAATTTATTTTATTGCTAAAATATCAAAATGCACGGTATAATTGTTTTTAAATAGATTTAGCAACTATTAAAGACATAGATATTTATTATGTCACAATTATTATGTGTGTTTAGGAATTAGTTGGAGATATTTTGGTCATGCAAAATATAACTTCATCTTAACCCCGTTAAAAAGCTGACCACAAAGAGCAAAGTGTGTATATATTTGGAGTTTAGGGCAGCAAAATGTTACCAGTGACCAAATTAAGTGCAATTAATTTTCTTCTTTCGTAACTTCATTGTCAGTGTCAACCTCTCAACAAGCATTGCGTTGCGTTAAGATTCCCAGTCTCGGTCAACAACGACTTGTGAAAGTCGAACCATCATTCAAGAGTTTGACCAATATACAATCTGCTGAATTATTAATCCTTGATGTACAGCCATATTTGACGGAGGGTTAAGCTGAGTCAACAAGGCTAAAGAAAATGAAGAAGAATGCAAGATGAATTCTTCTTAGCAATCGACCCCTTCCGCGTTTAGACGAGAGTCACAAGACAATTACCAGTAACAACGCGCTAATGAACGTCTTCATCGTTTATTACTTTGGAGGAGTAGGTGAGGCGGCAGAGATTATTAATATTACAAGGAAAGGAAAACGCTTCTAGACCCTAGTCGCAGGGCAAGCATAGCATTTGATTTAGATGATCTTTACCAACATAATATATTTTGTTATTAATGACTACGAATTGTTTAGGATCTGATTAGGTAAGTCTAATGACGTCAATACACGCTGCTCAACTGTGTTTCCTGAATATAGCTTTGATGCCCAGTAATTGTAAGAAATGAGAATTTCCATCTAAGAAATAAGAATTGATTCCTTATTATCATGTAGGAGTATAAATTTAGTCACAGCACATCCTTAAATTAAGAGAACGTATGCTTGGCAAATTCATTCCAGAAATTAAGAGAAGGCAAATAGACAAAAATATATTTATTACAAGTAAGAGAGAAAGCCAAGAAGTTAATCTACAGGAAAAATGCTACACCTACATGACCACCTCATGTGTTTAATTTGCCTCAGCCACATATCACCCGTATCAGTCATTCCATAACACAAGAACTACAATATATCATGTGAATGAGCACCTAAATGACTAAACTCTTTTTAACATCAGTCTTAAGCTCTTTTTTGCTGTCACAATGAAGTAAGAAGTACTCTACAAGCCGTTTTTTGCCCAAAGAATGGGAGAATAAAGGGGAAAAAAGAATGAAAAAGAAGCGGGGAAGAAAAGTTGTGCATGCTAGCAAATTTCTTTCCGTTCCTTGAAAATAGGATGCTCAGGTAGAACAACAACCCCTCTTTGTGTTTCCAGACGAATCATTAACATTGATGGTGGTACCCTGACCGGGAGTCACGGTGGAGGCAGCCGCTTCCTGGGCAGCCAATGCTTTCTTGCTTATAATGTGATATATTTCTGACAGAATAGTCTGGAAAGCCTTGTCCACGTTATATGCTTCCAGCGCTGACGTCTCAAGAAAAGAGAGTCCTTCCTTCTCAGCCAAAGTTTGGCCATCGTTCTCTTGAACAGCTCTGAGATGGTTAAGGTCGGACTTGTTTCCAGCCATCATGATGACAATGTTAGAATCAGCATGATCCCTCAATTCCCGAAGCCACCTTTGGACATTATCAAAAGTTTGCCTCTTGGTTATGTCGTACACAAGGAGTGCACCCACAGCTCCTCTGTAGTATGCACTAGTAATAGCCCTATACCTTTCCTGTCCTGCAGTGTCCCATATTTGTGCCTTGACTGTCTTTCCCTCTATCTGTAGCACCAAATTTTCAGAAGATCACCAGGTTAGTGTGTTCCCATATCTCACAAAGTACCAAAATTCTCAACCTTTCCCCACAAACGCTAGCCAGCCAAGAAAAGCATTTTAACAATCAAACTCAGTTTCCTAACAATGGAAACACCATAAAAGGTAGTACTAGATTGTTTTGCCAAACCTATAGGAAACTAGTAGTCTGTAGAAGCTACGAAATAGATATCCTTAAATTACAATTTTGACAAAAGAAAGCCTAAATTACAGGGGCGACCATCCATGCTATGGGTGCGCATGCAGAACAAACCAAACTTCACACGAACATCATCCAACATACACAATGACCAAATTAAGATTACAAATAATAGCATGCCACATATACCATCCAATCTATCTAACATGGCGGAAGAATTACATCATTCACCACGAAATCTCAGAAACTCTTTTCTAAACTTGCAAAAGACATATCTATTAAGTAGATAATAAGGTGGGATGATAACATGTTTAACTTTCTCCTAGCATTTCACAAGTCAGCGAACTCCATTTAGCTCCTCACATAGAGAGTGAAAAGATATCCTCCACATCAATTTGTATGATACTCTGTTAATCCGAAATGTAAACAAAAAGAGCTTCACAAGGGGGACAAAATTAATGTCCTGAAACATACTAATACCTCAAGAAACCATCCAAAACTGACTGGAGTGACTTGTGTTTAAAAACGCATCCTTCTTTCTTAAGACCTCGTCGCGCCACAATAAGCACTAATCCAACATTTAAAGACAATCAAATTACTAATCTCGACATTTTTATATATTTTTTTTATTTGGTCAAAAATTCGCAGTCATGTAAATCGTGCATAAAACTACAGTTAGACGCAAAAAAAAAAGAGAGAGAGAGAGAAGATGATACAAAATTGCAAGAAAAAGAAATCCATCCAAACTAATTTATGCAAATCATGAGAATTATGCAACCTAGACCAAAAAAAACAATAGACAAACTTCGAAAAAATCGAGATGGTGTGATTATGGAATATTACAGAGGAAAAAAAAGGAGGAGTAACCTGAAGAGTACGGGTTGCAAACTCAACTCCGATGGTAGATTTAGACTCCAAACAGAACTCATTTCGAGTAAACCTAGATAGAATGTTAGATTTTCCGACTCCGGAGTCCCCGATCAAAACGATCTTGAATAAATAATCGTACTCGTGATCCACTCTATTGGCCATCTCTCCCTCTCTATCTCACACTTTTTGATGACTATAACCAACCGGAACGATAAGCCGATGATCCCTTTCTCTTTTAATCCTGCAATACAGATCCACAACAACTCAGATCTAATGCAAAAAACCGTAATCTCCATACGACAATAAACGCAGGTATACACGCGTAGATAAAAAAAAAAAAAGTACGTAGAGCTTACCGTACAGGAGACAGCGGAAATGATGATAAGAATTGAGAAGAGAGGAAAATGGGGGTACGTATGGAGAAAGAAAGAAAAATATAGTGGGGGAGGGGCGAGTTTGAAACGGCCAATATTGGAATGTGCTTGTTTTTGGAGGGGGTGCCTCTCATGTGGGGCAAATGTTGCAAATTACTACTCAGTAGGTAGCAAGCGTGTAATGGGAGAATCTTTTCTTTTTTACTTTTTTTTTTTGGGATTAAAAAAATTAAAATAAGGTAAAATTCCCTGTTCTTATAATTTTGTTTATGTGGACGGGGAGTGGCGTCGTTTCGGTGAGGGAGTTGACAAAATTTAGCTAATGAGCTGACTGCTGAGAAGGATGTGGGTTGGCCGTTCTGTCGCAGAGTGGCAGATGGCAGGGATGTGCCTGCCTGCCAGCCAGGGTGGATATCCTAATTCCTAAATCCTATAAGGGGAATGTTAGCGGATTTCCATGTTCTGCCACCAGTGAGTAGTGAGTAGTGACTAGTTTTTTTTTTTGGTCAGCAACGATACATTTATATAACCTACTCTATCCTAATCTAGGGGGAGGAGGAGCCTAAGGAGACTGTTGTAGGGGCTAGTTGGTATACAGACCCAACTAGACCAAGGGAGTGCTATGGTGAGATTTGAACCCTCACCAACAGCCCAAGGAGGGACTTAAGTCAATGGTCATGCTTCTTGTGTTTTCTTTAGTTTTGTTTTGGGTTCTTAATAATAATTTAAATTATTATTGTTTCCAAACATAATTGTTTTGGGGCTCAGGCAAAAAAGATTGGATTTCGCCGAAAAAAGAAAAAAGAAATTATCCTCTCAGCTGCGGCGATTTGCAATGAAAAACCATTTATTGCCCAATATTATGGAAGATGCTGATGATTTGTTGGTGATGTTTACAAGAAACGAGAAGTACAGTGCACATTGATGTTCATATTGGGCAAACCACTTTCTGTGTTATGTACCATTGAAAAGAAACTAAATGCAAAACAATTGCATTTATGTACAAACACATTGCCTCCCATCATTCTTCGACTACCATTGCAACCAAGGCACTGCATTATTGAGTGCCAGCAAGCGATTTAGCGCACGCATTATGGCGTGATCATGCAAGAATAATTCCCCATTGGATTCAACGAATCATTCGAGTAAAAGTTTTCATATCATAAAAGACTATGGGGTGGTGCAGTGCACACAGACGAAGGGAATCTTCATTGTTGTGGAATGTGGTGATGATTGCTAGAACAGCACTTAAAAATGCACTTAAAAAAATATATAGATATCATCACTTTTTTTTTTTTTGGCAATAAACAACAAAAAAGCTAGCTGACATGAATGCATTAATGCATCGCTTGGGGCCGTCGATTAAAATAATTCACTCAGATAATCTCGTCAACCCAGGCTTTTAAGTGCCGTCCTTGTGATTTCGTTCACCGACCCACCTGCCCTTGGTGCCACTCATTAACAAAGGATCAAGATAGATGCATCTAGGAGTGTGTAAAATAGAAAAATTTTGATTTACAAACTGAATTTGAATTGAATTCGAAATTTTCGAAATTCGGTAATTTGGAATTCGGAATCGAATTTGAATTCCGAATTCCAAATTGGAATTAGTGAATTCGAAATTGAATTCGATCGATAATTTCGATGTAAAAAATTCGAAAAATTTCGAATTCAAACTTTCGATTTACCGATTTCGAATTTGTTGCATACCCCAAGATGCATCGACTTCAATATTATCATTGGTTTGTTTGGATTGTGGATTATTTTTAAAAACTTATTTGCTTGTATTAACAATATATTTTTTAAACACTTTTTATTTTACGTACATCACATTAAAAAGAAAGCACAAATGATTTTGTAACTATGCTGAGTAGTCTTCATATTGCTTTTCTTAATTGAGGGGATTTTGACGAGTTTCAAGTGTAGCTACAAGTCATCCGATGCAGTTATTGACACTCTTGAATGTGGCTTAATTTTTCCCATCTCGTCCAGTGTAACAAATATGTTTACACCAACAGCTTTCAATACATGCCTCCTTTGCAAGAAGAGAATTGTGCCTCTAAATATATTATGAATTAATTTTTTATACATCGATCATGTAGTAATTTTTTTACATTAACAATTATGAATGTGTACTAAGTTTTGTTGGAAAAATTGATTAATCTATTTTCTTATTAGTCGTGGGCTCAAAGTTGGTCATGTAACTGCAGCTCAATGTAGACTATTCACGGCCACGACAGTCGACAGCTGTAGAGGACCGGGTCCTTTACAAAATAATTGTCTGGGGAACACTAAATTAGGCTTATAGTTAACCTATAACTACGGTCATTTTGAACCGCCGCTGAGCTAACGCTTAGCTCAGTGGCCACTAAGACTGTAGGTGGAGAATTCAAATTCTATCTGCAGCGCTAGTCTCTGACACACAAGTCTCCTTAGACTCCCCTTTTTTATAAATTAGAATAGAATATGTTATACAATTATTATTGTTGCCAACAAAAAATAAACTACGGCCATTTTGAAGCGGATCCGGACCTTATGCTTGCTCGTCCAGGTTCCAATCATGGTCAGGACTGGCTAAGATTGTTGGACGTGAACGTTAGCTCGTCCTCTGTATCTGAGACCTGATGAAGCCCACTTTAACCAAATCCAACGATGTATAGCGGCGACCGTCACCTAAAAGTGCAAAAAAGTCAGCTTTTGGGGGTCAATTATGCAAATAAAATCAGTCACCTCGAGGGCAAATGGGAAGGTAAATGCAAAATCGAGGAAGCATAAGGATTTTACCACAGTGTAGAAGGTAAAGAGCAACTAGCTGATTCTTGATCTTTTAGTTACGTAGTGTTAGGAACGTTCTTGTTTAGGTGATAATAATTCTGTTACAATCAAAAGTTAGCGTGGAGTATCATTTTTATCAAGCCTAATGCGCCATTTTGCTCGCAGTTATAAGTCCCACTGTATCAATGCGTAAAAATTGAATAGAAAAAAAAAGAAGAAGAAGATAAATTAATCTTCATCCTCCTGGATAGCAACAAACAGAAGATGCGTCTTATTTATCCTAGGATGCGGATATGTTTTAAGGAATCTCGCATGCCATTTCTTAGAAATTTTCTCAACCAATAAATACCTTAAATTTATGGCATTATTGGACGAGTACGATGAACTCAAATGAATTTAAATTTGCTCAGTTGGAGAAAGATAAATTAGAGTCAATATTAATTGGCTACTTTCACCGAGCGAGAAGTGGGCAAGCTACTATTGACTTTGAGAACCAAAAAAAAAAAAGAAGAAGATGAGAAACATTTAATGAGATAAATGCCTTAAGTAACCCGTTTGGTAAAATTGAAGTTTGAAATCTGAATTTTAAAATTGAAATTAAGTGCTGAAAATATTACTGAATTGATTAAGTTATACCAATTTGATAACTAACTAGATTATAGTATTGAATTAAAATACTATACAAATATTATGTTTCTATTTAAAAAATGGCTTGTATTTTTGTGTTTGGAGAAATAAAATGTGTGTGTGTGAGAGAGAGAATAATGAAACGATTTAGAGATAGTGTTTAAGTGTGTGTATTATGTGTAAGAGAGTATGTGTGCATGCATGTGTGTCTGTGTGTATTGAACATAAAGAAAATAAACAAATGTATGCCATGTATAAAAATAGTATAAGAGTGTGTTATGTGTGCGTGAGGTATAAGACGTGTAGTCAATTTAAAAAAATTCAATGAAAAATTTTACTTAAAATGTTGTATACAAATTAAGCAGTGTTTAATACATCAAATAGTAAGATATTTCTATTATTAAACATACTAAATTCAAAAAGATCTGAATCAATTAATTTTCGGACTCATCCTTTGACCGAAAAAAAAAACAGTAGACTTATCCCAACACACATGATGCCTTGCGATATAACAATGGTAACAAACAATAAAAGGACGCGGAGACACCATTCTGGCAAATTCATTCACTAATTTCTCCGGCTGCCAAATGGTTATTAGTTATTACAATCTCATGTTTTACCATAATTTATTGTACTCCATATCATGCACCGATGCACGTATATATACTTTTTTGTAGTGAGATCAATTCTGCAATAATAAGAAACAAAAAATCCATCCAATTCTCTCCTTGGTCTATGTTATAAATGCAGACACCAACCATCTTGCCTCATGCAAACCACAGAGAACAGCGCAAAACCGCATAGATTTTGAGCTAAAATGGCTATGACCCTCTTCCTTGCTTTCTCTCTTCTCCTGCAAGGTGCTCTAGGTCCTCTCCACTAAATAAACTTCAAACCGACCTGCAAGTCAGTCTCGTTCTTCAAGATATTAATTTCTAAATCTAATCTCAATATATATATTGATTTATTTTCTTTGATTATAATGGCCCATACGTGTAGGGGAAGTGGGGAACTCATATGTGACGAATTTCCTGCGGGAATGTGCGCGTTATCAGTCCCGTCCTCTGGGAAGCGATGTTCACTGGAGGCCGGTGATGAACCAGGATTGCTCCAATGCAAGACCTCCGAAATTTCGGTGCATGGCATCCGGGAACATATTGAGACGGATGAATGCGTAGCCGCATGTGGGGCTGATAGGAATGTTACGGGAATCTCATCAGACTCCCTTCTTGATCCAATATTCACTGCCAAGCTTTGCTCTAAACACTGTGTCAACAACTGCCCCAACATTGTTGACCTCTACTCGAATTTGGCTTCGGCCGAAGGTTAGCACCATCTTAATTTCTTGATTAATAAGAAATTGTTAATGTTTCAGATTACGCCAGATTTACAAAGAATTGAATTGGCCCAAGTTGTTTTTGATCATCGTCAATTTTGCAATTTCGAGCTAAATGATCCGCAGGAGTGCTTTTGTCGAAGCTGTGCAAGTCATTGGAAACCAGTCCGCGCAGGGCAATGTCTCAGCTTCAAAGTTCTGGTATAGCGCCTTCCACTCCTGCTGCTGTTGGTGAAGGCCCGATTTCTGCAGCTCCTGCCGCTCCGATCTCTCGCACTGCCGCTCCAGCTCCATCTCCGACGGGAAGTGCTGATGCTGTTACTCCGGCACCTCTGTAGTTTTTAATTGTTATACACAAATATTTGCTATAAATATGGTGGTGATATATATTGAGTCTAGTAAACCATGTTGCGTACTTGTGTAAAATTTCCTCTTTTGTTTATGGAAGAATGATTGCCTCTTATATGAATAAATCACGTACGTGCTAATTACATTAAGTACTAGATATGATCACCCATAATTAGCCTTATTTATTGCATGAAATGATCAGTATTTACTATTTACTATTTAGTAACCAGAGAAACGGGATAATTCATTAATTATTCTTTCATTCTCTTGCTGAGAAAAAAGAAAAGGAAAGAAAAAGTGGAAAAAGGAAAAGATGGTCGATCACCTTCATTTTGATTCTTGTCTTGGTCTTAGGATGGTTACGTGACTTGCGTCCTAAACGGTGATTGTCATCAGCTTTGGACTACACGACGACCTCTCTTAATACATCATGCAATCTCCAAAACTCTTTGATTGCACCAAAAGAGAGCTTGAGTGTCTAATTCGGTACAAAATTGCTGCTGTTTTCCACTTGCGGTGCCTACATCCAACCGCAGGGAAACCAAGGCTTTTTATGATCCATGTCATTATCTGAATTAAAGGATACTCCACATGTCATTATCTGAATTAAAGGATACTCCAGATGTCATAAATTAAACGGTGATAATGCATACACTGTCAGTATATATAATATTTACTTTTATCATTATATCTAAGGATGGCAATGGGAGCGGGTGCAAAATATTTCCCGTTGCCTTAAAACGGGGCGGGGGTGGGAAAACATACACCCGCCCCATCCCCCGCCCCGTCCCCCCGCATACAATAAAAATATATATATATATATATATATATATATATATATATATATATATATATATAATACAATTCTAAATTTCCTAAAGTTGCACCCTTACTTACAAGTACAACGCTAGTCAGTGTCAACGGCCGCTGCAACAACCGAAGAAATTTCTTGGACTATTGTTGATTTGTTTCTAACGCCCCTCCCAAAGACTAAGCTATTCAATTCCAACCTGTTTTGCTCCTAACCCTTTTTTTATTTCGATCGGTTCCCTTCCTCCGCACTGAATGTAATTTGACTTGTTATACTTTATTTCCATCTTGATAGTTTTTTAATCTTATTTAACATTGTTTATAATTGTATTATTATAAATAAACATTTATGATAAATTGATTTCATCTCCCGTTGGGGAAACAGGGCGGGGGATGGGAGGCAAGGGGCAGGGAACGGGGGAAGTTATTTGACAACGGGACGGGGGTGGGGGAAGGATCCCCCGCCCCATTGCCACCCCTAATTATATCATGTATTCCAAGTTGTTTCTCGTCTAACTTCGAGGTCATTATCTGAATTAAAGGATACTCCACGGCAAAGTCGATCACCCCTTTTATTCCCCTAGCATGGGTACGAACTTAGAGGCTGGGGAGGGGCACCGCCCCCAAGTTCTACAAATTGGTGATTTTATATCTTAATATTTGAAAATTATCATCAAGATTCCGTTTGGATTAGCTGTTTTTGTGGGTGTTTTTCAGAAATTTTACTATAAATTTTTTTTGAAATATTTGATATATTGTATGGATGGGATGTTTTTTGAATTATTGTGTATTATTGTAACATTGTATTTGAAAAATTTGTTTTTGAAAAAAATGGCTAATCCAAACAGAATTAAATATTTTGTCCCACGAAAATTTTACTCCAAAAATTTCAAATTAACTATGAAGTATATATGTGTATGAAATCCACACCCGCAAAGTAATATTTTGGTACCTGTTGTTCCTATTGCCGCTTTTTCGCTTTTCTTAATCATGTTTAGCACCGCACTGCAATTAGTTAAAAAAAAAAAAGACAAGAAAATGTTTGTTGAGACAAAATGCATAAAACAATCGGCGTCTGTCTGGTGATATGATAATGGTAACAAACAGTGTAAACGAAAATCAAGAGGAAAGGTAGGAGCATAAAAGGAGCTTAATCAAGCAAAATAGCTTTACAGTTAATTTGAACATATTTCTTTATTTTAATGAGTTTGAGATTATTTTCAAGCTTTGACGTGGTTTTTTTTCATGATCAAAATTAAACAATATCTTATAGAATCGAACTTGATTCGTTCGAAATTTTTATGCATAAACCTAAATTTCTATGTGAACCAATTCAAGCTTAAGTTATAATGAATATTAATTACTTTTTACACATTCGACTTGAACAGTTGAGAAATCAAATTTGGAGTCCTGAACTGGTCCAGTACCGAGTTATTATCGGTTTGGCTTTTCACCCTTGAACATGGATACTTGAAATAGGACACCACCTCTAGGCTCTAGCAGATCAAGTCCTCGGCTCCCAAATATTCATCACTATTATCACATCTTACCGTAGTTTTTTGCACGGTGCATATATATCTTTTCGTAGTCTGATTGCTGCAATAAGATGGGACTCTCTTAATCTCTCCTCTCTCTCTCTCTCTCTCTCTCTCTGTATCTGATATACAAACCCTCTTGCCTCATGCGAAACCATTGAGAACAGCGCCAAACCCTTTAGATTTTGAGCTATAATGGTCATGATCATCTTCCTTGCTCTCTCTCTTCTCCTACAAGGAGCTCTCGCCGGTACTCCCCACTAATTAAACTTAAGACCAACCTGCAAAGCAATCTTGTTCTCAATTTCGATCATTGTCTATGTTCTGATTCATCTTACTTCTATTTATGGATTGCTGACTATTTTTTTTCCTTTTAATGGGCTATATATATATGTATATATGTAGGTGAACTAATATGTGACGAGTTGCCTGTGGGAATGTGCGCGTTTTCAATCTCATCCTCCGGGAAGCGATGCTCGTTGGAGACTAGTGATGAACCAGGGGTATTCCAGTGCAAGACTTCTGAAATTTTGGTGCATAAAATCAGGGAACATATTGAGACGGATGAGTGCATAACCGCATGTGGGGCTGATAGGAATGTTACTGGAATCTCATCAGACTTCCTTTTCGACCCAATATTCACAGCCAAGCTATGCTCTAATCGGTGCCTCAATAACTGCCCCAACATGGTTGATCTCTATTCTAATTTGGCTTTGGCCGAAGGTTGGTTTCTATCTGTTACCTTTTAGAAATTTTTTTTTTTTTACAAGTAAACTGATCTGATGATCATGCAAAATGCATCAGAATATTAAGATAGAAGAATTGAACTGCCCCAGAGCTATTTTTTTGTGATAATTCTTTTGTTGTGCTAAAATGATCCGCTTGCAGGAAAGCTTTTGTCAAAGCGGTGCAAGGCACAGGAAACCCACGGTACACCACGCCGGGCCATGTCTGAGTTTCAAAGTTCTGGGATAGCTTTTGCTCCAGTTTCTGCTCCTTTAGCCAGTCCTGTCCCTGTTTCTGCTCCTTCAGCCAGTCCTGTCCCTGCCTTTGCTCCAGTTTCTGCTCCTTCGGCCAGTCCTGTCCCTGTTTTTGCTCCAGTTTCTGCGCCTGCTGCCAGTCCGGTCACTGCTGGTGCTGCTGCTGTTACTACCCCTCCAGCTCTATCTCCAATGGGAATTACTGCTGCTGTTATTTCCGCGCTGCTTCTTCTCCATCAATTCTGTAGTTTTTAATACTAGTTATAATAAAATTATTGGCAATAACTACATTGTGATGAACTTCTACTAAGCTTGGCTACTTATGCGGCCTTTCCTCCTCCGTTTGAATAAGACTGAATACCTGTTTACAAATCACTTACTAATTGTATTTAAGCAAACAAGCCACGTACTATTATGCTAAGTGCAGAGAGTCTTTTTATTGTATGGAGTAATTAAATAGGGGAGGACCAAATAAATCATTCCTTTGTTGTCTTGATGAAAAATAGATCTAGAAAAAAGAAAACATGACCTTCATTTTCATTCTTGTCTTGGTTCCATTTTTCACATAATCATTACGGTGATCATCAGCCATTTCTGTTGGAGACGACTTTTCTTACTAGCTGACCATATAAACTCCAAAAACTCTTTAATTGCACCACCAACAGATTATGCATGAATGAAGTCGATCGTTGTTTCCTCTTCTTTTCTTTCGGTAGAGAATTGTTGTTTTCCACTTGCGGTACCGACTTTGTAGGCCATATATGATACATAGTCTCAAATTTTGGAATTAAGCAGACGAAAAGAAGGAAAGAAAACGATAATTGCACGTCTTTTTTTGTTTTCAAGCTTTGCATATATTATTATCTGTCTCAAACAAAACAGATAAATATTGAGGAGCATACAAGCTGTTCTTATTTGAGTCGGCTAATGAAGTTTTATTTTCAAGTTTTTTTTCCTGAGTTTGTTTGAATATAAAGACGCAGAATTTAAAACTGTGTTTTTTAAAAATTTTACTGTAGTAGAGCTTTTAGAGTATATTTTGAGATATTTTTAGAAAATATTTTGAAATATTTAAGAATAGTAGAGTTTTTAAAATATATTTTGAGATAATTTTTAAATATTAAAAAAAATTTAGACTATTTTTTAGAGTATCTTTTAAATATTTGAAAAATTAATTTTTGAAAAACAGAAGGATCCAAACACATCCATAGCTTTTAGAAGCTTTGAATTGAAAAATCATCGAACAAATTAATGTCTTGAAAATGAGCCCCCAAAAATGTTCCTTATTTTTTTTTAAACATGCACAATCATGAAATCAAAACGAAAATTAGATGCAATTGGTGATAACTATTTCACCACGAAATTAACTACATATTTAGATTAAACAGAAAAAGAAAAAAAGGAAACAAATAAAAAAGTGGTAGTGTTCAATTTCTCTGCTCTGTGTTAATGGGTAAAAAGACCGAAAAGTCCTCGGCATGACGTGATCCACCTCTAACAGTAACTCGCACAACACCCTGTCAGAACTTAGACGTTACGAGAAAGGAACTCACAGTCACTGCTAAGTGCCAGCCGAAGGCAGTCGAACAGAATCCATATTCCGATCGGTATCCCCTTCAGACTCAGTTCCTTCAAGAATTTTCAAGCTGGATTCAGAGGCGGCGGAGCCAAGCCAATCAAATAAAATGAAGAAAGAAGATATGGTGAAGCTGATCAGCGCCGACGGCTTCGAATTCGTCATCGATGAGAAAGCTGCCATGGTCTCTCAGACCATCCGCAACATGCTCACTTCTCCAGGTCACCCCTCCCCGACCTCTAAATTATCTAGATAGATTTCTTGATACCTATTATTGAAATAGGAAAATCAACTGGTTAATCATTTTATCTGGATCGTTATTTTAGTTTGTCTCTTTTATTAATCTGTGTTGTGTGATTACTTCTTCGGATTCGTAATTGGATTTTGTTGCTAGGGAATTTAACTTGTGGAATTCGGAAATTGAGACTACGGTGTGAAAATAACCGGTTTCTTCTTTACTGCTTTTGATTTACTTTAGGGAGTTTTACGGAGACGCAGCAAAGGCAAGTGACGTTTCCGGATATAAGCACCACTATTCTGGAGAAAATTTGTCAGTATTTTTACTGGTCTCTTCAATATGCCAGGTTGTTTATTTCCCTCTCTTTAATTTTGTATTTTTAATTGACTTTCTACTTTCTATGGAGTATTGATATTGTCACGGTGATTATTTCATTATTTGGTAGTAATAGTGTTTGATGGGGATTCCAATTTTTATTAAATGTCTGACTGATGATTGAGCAGCATTTGCACTTCGGTTTTCCCTTTATTTTGGATAGATGTCTCTTGTTGTTTGTGCTGCTTGTGATGTAAGTTATGTAATTGCTGGTAATGGAGAGTTGTCCAATTGTGTAGTGTGTGAGGGGCCTCTTTGGTTGCTGAACTCATTGGCTCCAAACCTCACACTTACAATCTCACACTTCTACCCCGTTCTCTGATTCCAACATCTTTTTCCGTTGAAAGTATTCTTACCCTGTTGAAAGTATTCTGCACAAAAGCAGTGAGAAAAGTTGAGAAATGAACGCTCTGAAGATAAGCTACTTATTTCACTTTGTTGACTGGTCTCATGTTTTTAGCGGAACCTGCTGATTAGGCCTTATTAGTGTTTGGATGACCTTAATGATATATGATAGCCTTTCAATTGCCAAGTAATTATGTTTCGAAAAGATGAGTAATATTCCTTAAAAGCATTAGATTTTGCATTTTATGGGACTCTGAAAGTAGCTAGTTTAACCCCCACTTATGCTAAATTTTTTACCATGCAAGCAAAATTATTAGAGATTAGGTTGCAACCTCTATTTGATCTTGAAGAACCCTGATAAATACTGAAGCCTCATGAAGCACCGAAGCAGTATCAGTCTGCAGTTAAATTCAACTCCGTGTCAGGATTGGGAATCAAGTATCTAAGAAGCGTGATAAATGCTGCAATTGAAGGTTTATATAATGCAAAAGATGATTGTCCGGTAAAATTCTTAGTGGCTAATTCTTGCTGTGGACCTGAATTTCTAATGGTTGCTTACCTTACCATAAGGAGAGACCAGTTTTTGAACAGCTGTGATCTTGTCAGCCAACTTCTGGCTTTTCCTCACAGGCACGGGGTAATTGTGTGAGATATAGAAGCTTAATCCCACACTCCAACCTGTCAGCAACTTAGAAAGGAACAACTCAATGATCCTATAGCTTTCAGCATTACAATGATGTCTCCCTCAACGATACAAAAAGGAATTACAACACCTATACAGCATAATTTAGTTGGCCACTTTAGTTAAACCCATTTATCAACAGGTCAAAAGGACCAGCTGTTCCAGTTTCAAAGCAAGAACGAAATGAACGAATAGAATCATACACTGATGGTTTTATCAGGGTATTATAACAAGGTAGCAAAACTTTTTTGCTTCGAGGATCTTGGGAACTCTACGAGCAACGGAGAAACAGGCCAATTATTAACACAATATATAATTCATGTCAAACTTTTCTGTGATGAGCGGGAGTGCAAATTTCTAGCTTTTGAGAACCCCTAGCTTTCCTTACTTGCCGGGGCAGATTGCTATCATTTATATTAAATGTCAAGTACAATGAATCAAGGAAAGCAGATATTTAGACATTTTTGCTGAACATTCAGCAACTTTACTGTGTTTCCTTGCTTCTGAGTTTACCACACAAGTGCAGCATCATGGGTCACCTTAGCAGTTAAACTAGGAAAGGAAAGTTAACTCTTTAAGTCATGGCTTATAAGTACCAACTTGAGAACTCCCTATGTTTTAATCTAGTCTAGCAAGTTCGTGTGGTAAGCCTTGAATTGCAAAGTTATGGTTTGGAGGGTAAATTTTACTTATTTCTGTGTGAAACTTGTACTCGATGCATTTTTGTTGTGCAATTGGATCAGTTTAACGAGCAACAAATACTTGTCTTGACTTTTGATTTTGGAATGGATGTGTTTGAAATGTCGTTTAAACTGTTTAATATGAAATGATTCTGATGCATCTGAAAGTTGAAATTTTCTCACAGATAAATTGCAACTTTGTTTTCTTATTGTTTGTTTAGAAAAAGTGATGTTTTGCTCTTCTTTTGTTTCCCTTTACCTTGAATGCTTTGCTATTATCATTATGTCTTGTATGTCCTGGACTCCTGGTACGAGTATTGGGACAGTTATGCATTGAAATGATCTACTCACACAACATTATAACAGAGATTTCTTGGCTTACTAAAATGTTGTTGGATTTTAGCTATAACCTTGTCATTCTTCTATGGTTCTCACCCAACTTCTCAGTAACCATGTGGATATAAGATGGTCTAGAGAAAGTTGGTCACCATTTTCTTTCCCAAGTACCTGTAGTTCCTATTGCCACTATTTGTTTTGTTTAGCAGTCTTGCATCTCGCACATATAGCCTGTTTGGTTGCTCCACTCAAGTCAACCATCAAATCCCTCTTTGAAATCATTATTGCTTATTTGAGAAAGCTCAACAGAGTTTATTCTTTTCTTCTTATCATACTTGTTGGGTTATTAAGCAGAGTAGGTTTGTGCTGTAGAGAGTTGGATAGCGTGAATAAAAATGCTTGCAGAATCTTGGTGTCTGGTCTAGACTGCACTGATTGCCACTAGTTGCACTATCAATGTTGGGTATGTCCATGCTAAGGGGACTTGTTATCCCAAAGAACTTATTCTTGTCTCTAACGACTGTTGTTTCTGGAATTTTTATACATCTGAATATTGAAAGCGTTTGCAGATTGAAAATAAGTAACATACCGTGAAACATTTTGTATGTATTAGTCCACTTTACCTGTTCCACCAATTTGCAGTGAAATTTTTATGCATACTTACGCGGGATCCTGAATACATTTTTTAGTGGTAAGGAGACTGAGTTCCACATCGAACCTGAGCTGACTTTGGAACTGATGATGGCTGCCAATTATTTGCACACCTGAGAATCTTGATGCTGCGAAGCGACCTTTTCTAAGCTCTGTAAGGCTTCTGCATGACAATCACTGAGGCTATTGTTGCTTGTGTTATTGTCGCCCATTCAATAAATTTGCCTTCAATGGATAATGGACTGGCCTCTAAGCTATATTTTGTTGAATTGTTCTTCTTAGGGATGGCCAGAGGATGATGTCGTTGCCCAAGTTCTTTAGTGTTGTATTGACATTCAAATTGCTGTGAAGTTAGTTTGAGTTAGGAGCTGACTATATAATTGTAATGCAAACTCTTGGAGGGTCTATATTCTGTCTATAGAACTGTTGGAAGCTGCATTGGTCTTCTTGTCAGTAAGCAAACTTGATATGCGATCCTTGTAGCATGGTGTTTACTTAATAATATACCTCCTGCATGTGCTTAGGTGGTTTATATTTCTGATATAACCACCTAATTGCTGGGAACTACCAGTGAATATGGTTGATTGCTTGACGCAAAAGCAAAACTGTTAACTAATCTAACCGAACTTCTTGTTGAGTACAGATTCAATGCAAAAGGCATTTCTGTCCAAAAGAAGGGGGAACTCTAAAGATTACCTAGCGGGATAGACTGAAATTGCTCCCAGAGGGACTTCGTCTACTGCTAGAGGTTGAAAAGTTTCTTGCGTGCGTCTTTCGTTGTATTGTTTCATGACATGTACTTTCCGCTACTCTTTGGGACGAACGAGATCGCAGTAAAACCATCATACTATGGAACCTAAAAAATAAATGGTCTTCCTTTATTCTAAGATGTATATTTGCCTTCAAAAAGATATACTGGAAATTGGCGTCCTAATCTCACTGAGTGAGAGAACTAAAGGTCAGATAGTTTTTTATCTTTTAATCTTAAAGCTGAGCGTTTTTGATAAACTTTTTCATAACCGTAGAGTCGGTGCAGTATGCTTCCGCCATTGCGGTAATGCCGATTGCCACTCTCCACAACGCAAAGATGTTTTCAGTTAAAAAACCATTGTGGGTAAGTTGCTAACTCAGTTTGCCGCAAGCGTGAGCGGGAGGAGTCGAACCTGCGCGGGCAGAGCCCACATGATTTCTAGTCATGCCCGATAACCACTCCGGCACGCCCACAACACTTTGTAACCGGTGAGTTTGATTTAGAAGATCACAAATGTATTACCATTCCACAACTGGTATCTCTAAAAGCTCTTTTAAGAATTACTAGTGAGGGGTAACTCAATGGTATCAAGTTTAAATTGCTGAGTCTCCCACCCCTATAATTGTTTTCCTAGACACTAGAATTTCCCAGTGCAAGCGATGGTAATGCTCACTTGCATCGCAAATGGACGAATTCTGTGCTGCTTAAGAGCTTTCATTTCATGACCCAGGAAATGCATTCATGTGAGAGGGCAAATGCATATCTCACCTCACCATGGTGTCGAGAATCTACTAGCATTCACTTGTTAATTGGGTGGAGAGGAAAATATACATCTCTAAAGAATTTTTCGAACTATCATATCCAAATAATAGTAAGTGGAAAAGGAATCATATCTCTGTACATTTTTGGATTGTCTATCTGTTACCAACGCAGAATTGCAATATTAATTGTTCTCAATCCAGTAACTCGTGTCACAAGGAAAGGAAAGGATAGGGTGGGAAAGGAAGGGAAAGAGATTAATTGTTTTGATGGATTATGGTTTCCATCCAAAAGTAGACGGGAATGAAGGAAAATAAAACTAAATTAATTGAAATAATTTAATTTTTTTAAAATTATTTTTCCTATCTTTTGCGGTAAATTAACACTTGATCCTTTCCTTTCCTTTCTTTTCCTTCTTCAATCCAAATAAAAATTTAGTATTTCTTTTCTTTTCCTTCCATACTCAATCCAAACAATACAGATGAAAACCACTCTCATCTCATCTACTCTCTTTTCCTTGTTTTTCATTGGTATCTTTTTCTTTCCCTTCTTTTCCTTCAAATCAAACGGTGCCTTATACGCATCGAAAACATAACTAAGAAAACCATTTCAGAATAATGTAATTTTGGTTTAAGAATTAGGTAAGTAATAATAAGGTAACTATCTCATCTTTATTATAAGATGGTGATTCTGTTAGTGAAATAATAAAATATATAGGCTGATACACAATAGAGAAGAATAAATACAACCCAGAAAGAAAGAAATGATCGAAAATAACAATAATAACAATCCGAGGCTTGTGAGCACAATTTCCTTAAAACAGATTCGCCCCCTCCAGGTAGAGTGCTTGAGGTTGAGTAGGCGTCTGTCTCTCAGGATACAACGGATTAAAGGCGAATATGTCAGCACCAAACGTTCTTCACCCCAGCGAACTCGAACTAGAGCAATATGGAACACTATAAAAGATGCAGATGCAAGAAGAAAAAGGAGAGAGAGAGCGCGCTTTCTTTTGAAACAAAAGAGATATTTATAGATGCTGGCCAAGGGTGACTGTTAGAAATTGGCAACAAGTGTTAAATTCCAGATAATTATCTTCACGTTTATCAAAGGACCACATTCATGTACATACATGTATCTCAATAAGATAACCCCAAATGAATCCTATCCAAAATCATGTATCAATAATTAATACACATGAATCCTATCCAAAATCATGTATCAATAATTAATATACATGAATCCTATATACATGAATGAATGATAGATAATTATCCTGGATTCTTTCAAGAGTGCCATTATGAGAACAATTTTCTCATTCACTCTACAATGAATATAGCCATTTTTCCAACAATCCCCCACATGAATGGAAAAATTGTTTTGATTTGACTCTACAGTAGTGTTCCACGACTGAAACCTGCATAAGATAGGTTGGTGTTACCCTTTGAACCTTCTCTTGTGAAATATACTTACTTTACTAGCAATCCAGTAGACATGATGTCTTTGAACTGTCTCGCTTTTTAGTGTAAATGAACCATATATTTCACACAGGAATCATGCTCCATTTGTTCAGTTCTCATAGTTATGTTCGTTTTGGCCATGAACATCAACCTGGTTCAGCAAGAGTTTTTAAGAATTGACCCCTAAACAATTCTCTTTTGAAGCGGCCCCACTTCACTCTCACATAGGTGATTTACTTAAGTCTTCAGTAATTAATTACTTCACTTAAGAATCATTAAAGCACACCATCGTGCTATCCTGAATTCTCCTTTGCGTCATTGTTTCATTATGGAATGGGTCTAGGGATATCCCCCCACAATGACTATGCTAAGTCCTTATAATTAGGTTGTCCCTTTGAACCTAGATCTTGGGATCTCCAGTCAGCTAGGTTGGGTTTCCTTTATAACACTTAGCCTTCTATGGGCTTTAGTCCCATTCCATTTGCCATTTTTGCAACCAACTCTCTATTCAATCCTTTGGTTAGCGGATCCGCTATGTTATCCTTTGATTTCACATAATCAATAGAGATAACTCCTGTTGAGAGTAGTTGTCTAATGGTATTATGCCTACGACGTATATGTCTAGACTTACCATTATATATGTTATTCTGTGCTCTTCCAATTGCTGATTGACTATCACAGTGAATACATATTGGTGGCACAGGTTTTTCCCATTTTGGAATGTCTTCAAGGAAATGGTGGAGCCATTCAGCTTCTTCTCCACATTTGTCCAAGGCAATGAACTCAGATTCCATTGTAGATCTAGCTACAATAGTTTGTTTAGAAGACTTCCAAGATACTGCTCCACTGGCAAGTGTGAACACATATCCACTTGTGGATTTTGAATCCTTTATATCAGATATCCAATTTGCATCAGCGTACCCTTCTAAAACAGCAGGGTATCTAGTGTAATGCAGTCCATAGTTCCGAGTGTACCGTAGGTATTTAAGTACCCTTAAAATTGCTTTCCAATGATCAGCACTCGGATTGCTTGTAAATCCGCTCAATTTGCTTACTGCATATGCAATGTCAGGTCTAGTACAACTCATTAAATACATTAGACTGCCAATGATTCTTGAGTATTCTGCTTGAGAAATACTCTCTCCTCTATTCTTAGATAGATGGAAACTATTGTCTAATGGAGTTCTTGCAATTCCAGAATCATCCTTATTGAATTTTTCTAGAATCTTGTCCACATAATGAGTTTGACTCAAGACCAACCCGTCTGATATTCTTGTAATTTTAACTCCTAAAATTACATCAGCAAGCCCCATATCTTTCATGTCAAATTTTGAATTCAACATGTCCTTGGTAGACATGACCATTTTGTCATTACTACCAACAATAAGTATGTCATCTACATAAAGACATAAGATGACATAGCCATTGTCTGTTTCTTTAGTGTAGACACATTTGTCACACTCATTTATTCTGTATCCATTAGTTATCATTGCATTGTCGAACTTTTCATGCCATTTCTTTGACGCTTGTTTTAGTCCATACAATGATTTGACTAATTTACAAACTTTATTTCTTGCTCCCGGAGTTATGAAACCCTCAGGTTGCTCCATGTAGATTTCTTCATCTAAATCTCCATTTAAGAAAGCCGTCTTTACATCCATTTGATGTATCTCCAGATTTTTCAATGCAGCGATAGCAAGAATCATTCTAATAGAGTTTATTCTCGTAACAGGAGAATAAGTATCAAAATAATCCAAACCTTCTTGTTGCTTGTATCCTTTGATTACAAGTCTGGCTTTGTACTTATCGACAGAGCCATCAGGTTTCATTTTCCTTTTAAAGATCCATTTGGACCCTAAAGGTCTACAGCCAGGAGGAAGATCCACTAACTCCCATGTATGATTCTGTAAAATAGAATCAACCTCACTTTTTATTGCTTCTTTCCACAAAAATCCTTCAGAAGAGCTTACAGCTTCTGTATAGGTTTGTGGTTCCTTTTCTAATAGAAAAGTTGTAAAATCATCTCCAAATGATTTTTCCACTCTAGCCCTTTTGCTACGTCTCGGTTCATCTTGTTGAATCAAGTCATGATCATGATTTTCTTGATTCATAACTTCATGTGTTCGTTTTGATGAACTTGATGCACCAATCGATTTACAAGGAAACACATCTTCAAAGAATGAAGCATTCCTTGATTCCATTATCGTATTTTTGTGTATATCCGAAATTTCTGAATTATACACAAGAAACCGATAAGCAGTACTATTATGTGCATAGCCTATAAAGATACAGTCCACAGTTCTAGGACCTATCTTTATTCTCTTTGGTGCTGGAATAGCCACTTTTGCAAGACACCCCCACACTTTCAAGTATTTGTAGGATGGTCTCCTACCTTTCCATAACTCATAAGGAGTTTTATCTTGTTTTTTCCGGGGTACCCTATTTAAAAGGTAATTGCTTGACAAAATAGCTTCACCCCACATATTTTGAGGCAATCCTGAACTTAGTGACATCGCATTCATCATTTCCTTTAGTGTGCGATTTTTCCGTTCAGCAACACCATTCGATTGTGGTGAGTAAGGTGCAGTTACTTCATGAACAATTCCAT